CCCGAAAAGTGATTTGTATGGTTATTTAGGCTAATTCGAAATGGGGGCCCCCCCCCCCCCCCACACACACACCGCCGCTATTGTTTTTAATTGTCATCCCTTGCCAAGTCTTATATTTGGTCAAATCTCCTCATTCATTTTAGTCCCATTGCAGCACATTTTGCCAAGCATACTTGGAAATAATTTAAAAGAATGTTTTCCTTAGAACGTTTCACTCAAGTTTTGGGCGGGCTCCATTCCTGCCTATAACATATTTCTTTTTCATCTTTTGCCTTCTCAAAATGTTTTTTTGTGGAGGACAAACGGTGAAAATCAAATTATTTGTTGGTGGAATTAAGACCTGCTGTTCACCCAAAATTTACGTCAAATTTTCCCAGAAAATCGTTCACTTTATTATGTGTTTTGTGACAAAAATGTGCTGCAATGAGACTACATCAAAAATTAAAGACTGGATAAGGGTTGAAAATAGATAATTTTGCCTTGAGGGAGAGAGGTAGGGGGGGGGGGGGAGCTATTTACTGAAATATTTTCCTAGGAAAGGGAGATTTTTGTGTGTGAATCGTAATATTTCGGAAAAATGATAAATTCTTTTTGATCTAACTTTAGCGGGAACCAGGTGTCATGTATTTCGCAGTAAAGATAATTTGTAAACAGAATATTTAAAGGTCGTCATTCGAATAATGATCATCAGACAAATGTGAGTATTTCTTTTTTTATTTCATTTAAACGATTTGTGATTAAAATCTATTCTTGAATTGACCCAAAATTTAGACTTTCAATGTGAAAATTTTTGCTGCCATTCCTTGTCTAGACATTGTCAGCCACAATCTGAAAAATTCCATGAAACGCATCTTTAACTTTAAAAAGTTATAGCCAGTCATTAGTTGACGGATCGTTGACAGCTTTTACCTCCAGAAATATTAAACAAAATTTGGCAGCACGGACTTCGACATCAGAGCGCGTGTCTAGAAAAAAAAAGCAGATGATTGGCCCAAACTTTGACGTCAATCTAAAAGTGGGAGGAGTAACGCGCACTGTTACCATTTGCATACATGAATCTGCAATGCTTCGCGGGCTTTTCATTAACTCAGTGGGACTTCTAAGAATGAGGAATAGTTATTGGATTATCTTGTGATATTTTGTAGGATTATTGTTCCCCAAGGATTAAATTTCAAGATTCAAAGGAAATGAAGTGGATTCCAATTCAAATGGTAAGTAACCTACTAAATTTTATCAAAATCATGATGGAAATCCAATCAGCAATGTAGATTTTCAAAAATCGTCTGGCTAACTTTTGTGAAAGCATAGTTCGGAACCATATTTTAGCGAACAGCAGGGTGTGATTAGCCCTCCTGCCCTCTCCTCATTCATTGCATACATGTATATCCCTTTCTCATGCGGTGGGTGTGATTAGCCATCATGCACTCATTCATTGTACATATCGACCTTTTCATGCCCTCTCAACGTCATTGCATATCGCCCTTTCTCATGCTGTGGGTTTGATTAGCCCTCATGCCTCCTTAGCGTCAGTGCATATGACTTTCTCATGCGATGGGGGTGATTAGCCCTCATGCCCTCTGAACGTCATTGCATATCGCCCTTTCTCATGCGGTGGGTTTGATTAGCTCTCATGCCCCCTCAGCGTCAGTGCATAGTATGACCCTTTCTCATGCGATGGATGTGATTAGCCCTCGTGCCCTCTCATTGTATCTCCTACTTGCATATAGCAATAGATTCCCCCTTCAATTTATAGAGCCGTGGTTATTGAAAGAGAGGGTGGATGAGTATATATGTTGAATAGCAAATTAACACTCCAACTTTCATTTCTAGATTAATATCCAACCACAATACCTAGAGTTACCACTGTGAAGAAAGAGAGCAATAGATCAGAACACTTGGTGAGTTTGAATTTGATTTTAAGCTTTGTTTTAATTGGCCATTGACACACTTTGGCTCTAAATGGAGGGGTGGGTTTTAATTAATTGTGTATAGGGCTTGATAAAGGTGAGCTTATTTTGATATAGATCCTCAAAAGGCAGAAAGGCTGGTAATCATCACCACTTCACCCCTTCCAGTGGTAGTGAGATTAGACTATGAATGACCTTGAGCAACCCCCATGAGTAATGAGTAATGAGTAATCCATTACTGTGGTCTCCATCCCCAGCAGAGATACACCCCAAACCTCTGTCCCCTTCACTCACCCCTTTAACCCTTACAGTTAGCAGTGAGATTAGACTATCAATTACCAGAGAAACCATCTTACTGTGATCTCCATCCCAAGCAGAGATACACCTCCCTCACCCCTTTAACCCTTACAGATAGCAGTGAGATTAGACTGAATGACCTTGAGAAACCCCCATCTGTGTTCTCCATCACCTATAAAGATGCACCCCCCCCCCCCATTTTTCCCAAATCCAATTCATTTATACATGTATATATGTGAATAATATATTGTTTACAAAAAAAAAAGAACAATTTACAATTCATCATTTTTTTTTTTTGCAGCTAGAAGTTCAGTTTGAAGCTAGTTTTAAATTAAATTTTCTGTCTGCATCTACATGAATGGTGAGTTCAAATTTTCTTTTTTCAATACCTAGGGTTAAAATAGGGAGTTCACAGACTGTTCTATTGGAATTCAGAGCTTGAATACAACTCCAGACAGACTAAGGGGAGACAATCCAATTTAATCTAAGAATTTAGTGCACAAACAATTTCCATTATCAGGTAACTGAAGTCTTTGAAGTAATTTGATGTAGACGGTGTACAGTCTGCCATTGTTTTGTACTAATTCCTGTCTCCCTTGTAGGAGGAGAAAGGGGTGGGGGTATCTTATGGCTTCATTATTTAGAGGGGATGGACATGGGGTTCCCTATCACCGTGGGTTAGGTACTGTATTATGTAAAGGGGCACATAATGCTTATGATTTATGCCTACAAAGGC